ATTCCTCCTAGGCGTTTGATTTCACTCCACCAAGCTTTAGGGTTATCTTTTTCTTTACTGTGAACCTGGGTCGTATAGTATTTTGATTTACACGCTTTTCTCTCGCGATTGACAATATTTCGGTAATATTTAAAGCAGTTGGATTTTGGACCGTAACTGAAAAAGGCTTCTTGTCTTTTTTTTATAAATGTTTTCAATTTATCAGTCATCCAAGGAACATCTGCAGAGATTTTCTTAATCCGTTTAATTGGCATGAGGAGGTCAAGACCAATAGCTACAATGTCATAAATAAAATTCGCCATATCTTCACAGCTTTGTGATTGAGAAAAAATTTCAGGCCAAAGGATTGATTGTAAAAATCTCCCCATGGCATCTTTCTTTCTCTGACGAAGGTCTCGTTTGTATACAAATGTAGATTTTGCTTTCTTCACAATGTGAGTGGGTGAAACTACAACTGTGTTGTGATCAGATAATCCAATTGGAGGGAGTATTTGCGGAGACTTGTAGAACTCGTGCATATTAGTTAATATAAGATCAAGTATTGCTTCGCCTCGAGTTGGTGATTTAACTATTTGTTTCAACCGAAAATGCTTAATTATATGATTCACATTAAGACGATTGAAATCCCCAGCAATGATAATACCGCAGTTGTAAAATTTTGCTTCGACTTCGCTCAGTGTCTGAAATAAGTGACTCTGCATGCTGAAATCGTCGGCACTGGGGGGGTGGTATAGAACGGCAACTATGATTGAGGAAAATTCACGAGGAAGTCGTCTAGGTTTTAAATGAAGCCATAAGATTTCGTGTTCGGAACAACATGAAATTTCTGAAAGGATTTTGAGTTTCGTATCACCGTCTCTGATATAAATACAGATTCCGCCATGGTTGTTTATAGATCTATCTTTGCGTATGATTGTAAACCCAGGTATACTTACAACGCTATCTGTAATTGAGTCATTGAGCCAAGTTTCAGTTAGAAAGGATAAGTTTATCTCATTTTGTAAGTTTGTCTTCCTTGTGCTTATCGTCCTTTCACGAATTAATATCACCTATACTGTAGTTAAATATTAAAGAAAATCAGTACTGCACCAGGGTCTTAGCTAGAGGGCCGTGTTGGCCGTGTTATCGCGGCCAAAAATAGAAAAACACGGCTAGATAAAATGAACGCGGCTTCATTAATTAAATAAGGCCGTGTAGGTTCATAAAATAAGGTGTTACTGCTTACAACAGACAGCATTTCTTCCCATTTTCTTTGTAAGAAAGTTTCTAAAATCTACTGTAATTGATGAAATTGGAAAAAGTGATCTGTGATGTTTTAATGTTTTGATGGGTAATGGGAACCATATGGTATTTTATAAAATGGTTTTAAATACCCCCAAGAGTTGCTGAAAAAACTTAATATTTTAATGTCAATGTATTGTCTACGCAATGTGAGCGTAGCCTTGTATTTGGTTGCAAAGCCTACAACAACCACAGGCATTGTCTGTTGTTGGCGAGCATAACTAGAAATACGCACACCCAGGTCATTTAGAAACACGCCCAAGATCTAAAATCCTAGCTAAGACCCTGTACTGCACAAATATAATTAATCACTGCATGCATATTTATCACTGCACCTTAAAATAATCCCTGTAGGAATCGAACCTGCGGCTCTGTGATTCCGGTACAGTGCTCTAACCAACTGTGCTACAGAGTCCAGTTGTTCAAAGCCGCATGCATGTGTTATGGCTAACTCTAAGTTCAAATTTACCCTGCTGTTTTGGTTTGTGTATTTCTTCATGTTTGCAGAGCTTTACATAATAAAACTTCTACACATTCAGACAATATTTCTGGGAAAATATTTTCATGTTTATAAACAAGCTGTTTTGAAGATTGCTCTGAAGGACTGAGCTAACGATGCAGCGACTTTAGCTTGTTAATTGTTCTCTTCGCAACTGCTTCATGCTGTTATATGCAATTGCAGCTTTTAGTTTATGCGTACAGGGGGATAGGAAATAAGGTATTATATTGCTGATTATGCTGAAAGAATGAAAATGGTGGCCGTGTAACACTCAGGGATAGCTCATATTTGAAAATATTGAAATATTTCGATTGTTTCGGCAGTTTTTATTGAACATTTCCAGCATATTCAGCAATATGATACCTTACTTCCCGTCACCCCCTGCGCACATAAATTAAAAGCTGGATTCGTCGGTTCTACTAACACGTGAAACTACGTCTATATTATATAGGATACAAAAATTATGTTAAATTGCTATTAATTTGTTCAAGACAAAAATAAATATCCAGAAAGTCATTAGGACCGTAATGTATGTTAATTGTTAAAACTATGTAAAACAATTATAATCTCAGTTGTGTCTTAACGAACATAATTATAACGTTAATATTATATATCTCTAAATATATAGTTACACGAGATTTTAACTCACAAGCTTATCGTTCTAGCTCTTGAGATATTGAGCCTACAGAGATTGCTGATTTGCAAATACATAACTCTCAACTTTCCTATATATTTTCTAAGGTCTTAAAGAACTTGAATACCAGCATACCGTTTGCTTCTTACTTAATCAGGTATGTTATTGTTAATATAGTATTATTTCAGCCAATATTGTACATTTTACCCCAGTGCAAATCTCACCATGATCAAGTAATTTTTTGCTTGCCTGGCGTGAAAATTACATGGAGAAAATCATGTAATATACATGCAGATATCCCGGGCAGGGCCGTAGCTATAGCGGGGATGTGTGGGGTGTGACAGCCCTCTGAAAACGTCTTTTCGGCAAAATAACCGTTTTATCAGCAAATTACTTTCGTGATCATCGAAAATAATTGAGTGACTCTGATTAAAAATAATAGTTATAGCAAAAATTTTGTTAAATTTATGGAAAATTTTACCGAAAAATTTAAGAAAACACGGTACATGAATTGGAAAGTTAGTGAGTACCCCCCGCACTCCCGAGGAAAAAATGCAATATATGCAATATAATTATATAGAGAATAATACATGGGTGCGCGGAAATACCAGATTTATTTCGAGTGTTGAACATGATATCTCACGAGTGAGCGCAGCGAACGAGTGAGATATAATGTTCAACACAAGAAATAAATCTGGTATTTCCAAGCACCCATGTATTTTTCTGTTTATTATATAAAGAACAGTCTTTGAAAAGCGATAATTTTTACAGAAAAGCGATAATTGAAAAGCGATAATTTTCACTTGTGAGATTATCATAAATAATCTCACTTATCACTTTTATCAGTGCTCGAAATCTCTATAAAGCACTGTACTTTATATAATAAAAATGGTTAATCAATTGGTTTCAAGAGTTTTTATGAACATTACAGCTAACACAACCATTCATTTCAATTCATAATTTTAAATGTTAATTTCTGTGGATTTTAAATGGTCGAAAAACAGTCACTACTTTATTAAAACGGACAAAACGGCATTGTAGTAATACAATTGTATATTGCATGCAGTTTGTGTCATTTATACAAATTTTATTGGTAAAATGCTATGTTACGGAAATCATGATTACACAGTGTGCATGTTACCTATTAAGTCAGTCAAAAATCTCTCGACATTGCATACTTATGAATTTTACTAGTGTTCCTGAAAATGAGACTAATGGGTGTTGCTGTATCACTGACTGAACAGGAAGTGGGAATGCTTAAAAGAATGCCTTAACCTCCATTGAATACAAAAATACCCAATTGCAAAATTAACAAAAATACTATATTGAAATTGCACATCACTGTAATGTTTAATCAATGATTTAATAATGGGTGTAACCTCCACGCTTCTCGAACCTCCATGCATCGTCGCCTCCAACCTCGTACCCAGGCTCTTTCCATGAGTCTGCTCTCCCGCTTTTGAGGTGTAGCCATCCATTCATCCTGCAACAATTGAGCCAAGTCAGGCAGAGTGCTGTATTCAGACAGAGCACTTGCGCTTGTCCCAAAGATGCTCAATTGGGTTGAATTCTGGCGAGCTCTCATGCAGGCCTGCCAGGCCACACCATTCGTTCTATATCCTCACCAGCCAAGACCTTAGTGACTATTCTCCCCCAGTGCGGGCGGGCATCCTGTCAAACATGTAATGCCATTCTTCATACAGCATTAAGCAACCTAACATAGGTCTAATTAGTGTTAGGTCTGATTATCAGGGACTCGTTTGTTTAGATCTTATGCTTATATATTTAGGGGGAGATTTTTTAGGGTGTTTATTATAATCTTGAGTTCCAATCCCTGCATGACCGTGTAATTTGCCTACCTGCCTGGTGGAACTTTTTTAGTCTATTTACTCTATGATTTAATTAATAAATGTTTTTATATTGACAGTATCTAAAAGTGGTCTTGTTCTTCATGAAGCAAAGACTTTTACCAGAGCTGTTTGGTGAGTTGAATATCATTCATTTAATGTTTTAAGTTTGTATTCTAAACTATCTTGGAGGAAATTAAGTTGCTGAATTTCCCTGGCTACGAATGAAAAACGTTCAGGAAATATTATGATTGTTTTTACTTTTAGACAAAAACGAAGATGGTGAATTAAGGTTTGTTTATGAAATACTACTCGTAAAACGTCGCCATATGCTTGAGTGAGAGGTCCGGACTCTGGGATATTAGTCGAGTTCTTTTTACAAATGAAAAGACTAATATCCTACTGTCCGGACCGAACAAGCTCAGTCAACAGTTATTTATTATATGGCTAAAAGCAAGAGCATTTCGAAAAACAATGTTTGTAAATGAAGTCAAGAACTAAGTTGCTTACAACATTATGTATTTGAACATTTAAAACCGGTAACTACGTATGTCAGCATTTTAAGTGTTAGAAAAGCGTTTTTATAACATGTAAACCACGTTTTAACACAAACTAGAGTGCAGTAGAGTATTTTATCTAAAAATCTAACGTCACGTATTTAATTTTTTTTTACTGGAAAATAAGTTATATACGTTTTTCTTCTCGAGCTGTCCATCTTTATAATAGCAGTCCATACTATGAGATCAGTGAGCGGTCCGTACTGCAGGTTACCGACCTCCCAGGAACCAATCAAAATGCTGCATTTTGTATACGGACCGCCTTGCCATATAATAAATACTACTAATAGTACCGTGGAATCCGGGTGACGGTCTAGTGATCGAAATTTTCGATTGTCTTTTCATTGTCTTGAAAATCCCCAACCTCGTTCCCAGGGCGTCTGCGCTTATTGCTCCCTGGGTACGAGGTTGGAAACTCCCTCAATCCAGTCACTCATTACAAATGTTTCTGCTTGGAATGTTTGAGATTTTTTTTAGTTTAATGTTTCATGTAGATAGTTTTCACGAGTTTCTTTATTTTCACTATTTTAGTTCCCAGTACTACCCAGGGGACGTTCTTGCTCGACAATATGGCTTGCGAAGAAGGGAACTGCAACTGCCGAATGAGTAAGTAAACACAAGTTATGCATCGAGCCGAGAGCTTGTCTCTTCGATAGTGGTTTTGAAATAGAACTGAAATATCAGTATTTTTGAGTTTGCAAATCTATTCTTCGTTTGACAGACGGCAAAATATAGTTTTGCCTTCTTTAAAGTTGAAACAACCTTGCAATGTTCTTTTACAAATTATGTCGCAAATTGGTGATTTGACTGTCAAATAGTGCAATCAATTCCCATGCATGCGCATTGGACCCTACTGCAAGCTTTCTTGCACTTCCGGATCCGTGTATCCCAAGGCCAGGGCGAAGGGAGAGAGGGCGTAGAAACGGCCATACATCGAGCGGACCCATCCGTGATGCGGGCTTCGCGGGGGGCAAGACGTTCTAATTGTAAACAAATATGGCTACGCGTATATGACCCATCAGAAGGTATGCTGAAACTATTGCTTTATAAAATATTACTTGTGTAAAATTTATATGTTTTTGTTACTTTCAGCTATTATAAGAAACTTAAAGATAAGATTTAAGTAAGAAAAAACTTTATTTCGGTTGTTATTTTATTTATATACTCTGTTTAATTTGGTGGTTAAAAATGGCCGTCGAAATGTTGTCCGAGAGTGTTAGCGCGCACTGCTTCCTGATAAAAACCCAATGATTTCCAAAACCTAAATTATAATTTGTTATTAAGTTATGATCAAAACCTTTGCGTATACAAAATTATAGAGTGAGCAAACATGAGACAGATAGGTTTTGAACCTTTCAAAGTTCGAGGTCGAATTGACAGTTGAAATAGTACCAAACTCCAAGCTGAAATGTGCAACTAAATCGTGTATATTTTTGTCAACATTGTTCGATGGCTTTGTTAAATTCACTTGCAATGGCTCGACATAAGTTACAACATACAAACTGAGCAGAGCCCATGAAAGAGCTATCCATACCCATACAGTCATTCAGCTTCCTTGCTATTTAGAAATTGTTGCCCATTTATAGTTGAAGAAGAATTGCTATTGTATGCGCTTGTTTGCACTTCCTTTTCTGAAAAAAAGTCTACAATATTAAGGCTAAATAGCAGAAAAATATGACCCAATAATCCATGCAATTAAAAATATCTATCAAATTAACTTCAAAAATCATGATTTGAGGAATTATATCTATTCAGGCAATCAACCCATAATTTTATAGTGACAGATCTTGGGATTGGTGTACTACAAAACTATATTGACTGAAGTTTTGGACAAATTTGGCCAACTCAGTTTTGAAGGATTTTATTAGGTCCAGTTCACATGAGACTGGAACAAAGTCAATTAACCGGGACCATTTCGTTTTGGTCATTAGATTATATATAATACATGTAGATGTTTACATGAGGTCTCAAGTCATTCCGCCTGCTGGACCAAGCCGACTCAGACCAGTATGAATTCAGACTGGAATGAATGTTGACATTGGAACAAGTGAACAACACATGCTAACAAAAGTCATCTAAAAATTGCCTGGCAAGGGGAATAAATTGAAAATTTTGTGATTTTCATACTGGTCTCATGTAAACATGTTGACATGGTCTCATGTAAAAGGGGCCTTACAAACTGTGATTCAGTATCATGGGATGAGATTAGGGGCCTGTTTATATGATCCCGGCCAGGCAGGACGGGATGCTTACCGAGATCCTGCTCGTAAATTATACAAATGCTAAAGAGTGTTTATATGATCCCGCCACTTATCCTGCCTAGACTGGATTTCGGCAACAGATGCCGGGATCCTGCCTAAGCGAGATGAAAAATTCCCATATAAAAACACTTCATCCCGCCTAGCCGGGATGAACAATTCCCATATAAACACTTCATCCCGGTTAGGCGGAATGAATTTTTCCCTTTTGGGCATGCGTAAATGCCTTTATTGCAACAAAAATATGACGTCAAGCACCGAATGGTTTCATCCCGGCAATGTATTTTGTCCATATAAACACTAGGCGAGTATCCTGTCTTGGCGGGATGAAAACGTCCCGTCCCATCTAGGCGGGGTCATATAAACAGGCCCTAAGGAATGGAATGATTTTATAAGCGAGCAATGTTTAAAAGCAAGATATATAAACAATGAAAGAAATGGCGCTAACAGAGCCACAACTTCTCCAGAAGTGTAAAATTCCATGATACTGAATCACAGTTTGCAAGTCAATCCTTCAAAATTTAGTTAAATGTTTCCAAAACTTCAGTCAATATAGTTTTGTAGTTGCAACTTTATCGTGTATATTTTTGTCAATTTTGTTTACTGGCCTTTGTTAAATTCACTTGCAATGGCTCGACATAAGTTACAAAATACAAACTGAGCAGAGCCCATGAAAAAGCTATCCATACCGCTACAGTCATTCAGCTTCCTTGCCATTTAGAAGTGCATGGTTGCCCATTAGTCGAAGAAGAATTGCTATTGTATGCGTTTGTTTGCACTTCCTTTCCTAAAAAAGTCTACAATATTAAGGCTAAATAGCAGAAAAATATGACCCAATAATCCATGCAATTAAAAATATCTATCAAATTAACTTCAAAAATCATGACCATTCATGATTTGAGGAATTATATCTATTCAGGCAACCCATAATTTAGTGACAGGTCTTGGCAAGGTGAAAGCTGAAAGGAACCCTTAAGATGGGTGACATTTCAGCTTGGAGTTTGGTACTATTTCAACTGTCAATTCGATCTCGAACTTTGAAAGGTTCAAAACCTATCTGTCTCATGTTTGCTCACTCTATAATTTTGTATACGCAAATGTTTTCATCATAACTTAATAACAAATTATAATTTAGGTTTTGGAAATCATTGGGTTTTTATCAGGAAGCAGTGCGCGCTAACACTCTCTTACAACATTTCGACGGCCATTTTTAAACACCAAATTAAACAAAGTATAGAAATAAAATAACACTCGAAATAAAGTTTTTGGTTACTTAAATCTTTTCTTTAAGTTTCTTATAATAGCTAAAAGTAACAAAAACATATAAATTTTACACAAGTAATATTTTATAAAGCAATAGTTTCAGCATACCTTCTGATGGGTCATATACGCGTAGCCATATTTATTTACAATTAGAACGTCTTACCTCCGCGAAGCCCGCATCACGGATGGGTCCGCTCGATGTATGGCCGTTTCTACGCCCTCTCTCCCTTCGCCCTGGTTGTTTCATATGCGCAAAAGCCGTCGGGTTTTAAATCCATTATAAAATCAATATTTAAGACAAACTTACCTTCGTTAACGTTGGCTCCCTTCTTTTAGCCGATTCTTTCGCCCTTTCTTTCTTGAAATTTACAAAATCTCGCAGAAATACGAGCAAAAATGAAATATAATTGCAAGAAATTTATCAATCATCAAATCAAGAAATGTTTGCTATTTCACTGTCGTCATGCAGTAGTTATAATCCAAACTTTAAATTGGACCAATCAGTGTCCGTTATTCATGACAGTCCACCATATTTTTGAGATCAGTGAGGATGACCACCCATCGTTGGTAACCGACGCCCGCGCTCATTGACGAACTTTAGACTTCGCTAATGCTTTCGTTTCCCCGGGTGTAAATAGCCAGGGGGAATTAGTACCCTCGCACGGCGCTTCGCGCCTTGGCTCGGGGATAATAAAGATATCCTACCTTTCAAGTTAAATACAACATTTTGTGCTTTTTTCGTTTTCTGGGACGATTTTTGTCATATCTTGTCGATTTTGAAACCAAAGTTGCCGTATCATTCTTTTTGAAAAGCATTATTTACTAGTCTGCTAGTATAAATAATGCGTCAGATTTACTAATCAACAAGACGCCTGCTCAGGCGTTCACACTGGCCTGAAAATGGCAACTTTCGTGGAGGGTGTAATGTGTAGTAGAGAAGTAAATAGGGATGCAGGAGGTCTGGACCATATAAATACAACCAATAAATACAATCTTGATTAGCAACTATCAACCGTAATACAAGACGCCTGCTCAGGCGTACCCTCTGCCGCTCTGGCTACGGACAATTCAACCTGACAAGTCAGGTCCACTGTAACTATGATCATCAACAATCAACCGTAAATAATGATGGGTTAATAATAGCGAATAAATTCTATTGTCCTTGATTTTTAATTCCATTAATTATATGGCTCGTTTCAGGTGCTACAAAGTTTAATTTATAGACATAGACGATTCTTCCAAAAAATTCGCCAATTTGCTGCCAGTTATAAGATGAACTGATCGCAAACCCTTCTCTAACCCCACTATTCTTCCCTTGGGCCTGCACGAGGGCTAACCCCAACCAGTAAACATCTAATAAACAATTTGAGAATTAAAAAGTTGGGGGAAAGTTGGATCTTGTTCCAACAAGAAAATATTTCTTTAAAAAAAGAAATAATGTTTTGTTCCAATATAATTATAGAAATACCAGACGTCTGTAATTAGCGGTCGTGACCATATAAGCAGTTTAACGTTTTATAAAGAACACTTTAAAATGCTTTACGAAGCGTTTGTGGTTGAATTTTACATTAAATTGAGGCTTATATTACGTATAATAACATACCTAACATATATATGTTGGGAAATGGATAATTTTGTAATTAAAAATTATATCTTTAGGCGATTTTTCATTTGTAAGAACTTAACAAATTATCGTGTTACTATGACAACTACTTTAGATACTTCATGTTCGGAAAATACAATGCTTTTGTCAGCAAGGCAAGGGTTTCTGCATGCATGTATTTGCTAGTTTTACTGTGTCAAACATATTCACGGAAAATTTAAAACTTATTTAAAACTCCGAAACATGCACTTCAAACAATTAGCAAAAACTATCGCAACTGTTGGGAAAAACATAATAATAATAATAATAATAATAATAACGATTTATTCAACAGATCCATACATATGGCTCTTCCCTGTTAAAATACTAATTAAATACTATATTCTATAACTATGAACTATAACGTTTAAGTGTTGAAATTAGATAAAATCAATGTTCGGATTAAAAACTAGTTTTGGCGTGCTCTTTCGAATAAAAGTTCTTTAGTTAATTTTAAAAATACTTTGTAATTAGTACAATTCCTGATGTTCTCAGGTAAGGAATTAAAAAGTTTCGCAGCACTATGTTGAAACGTTCCAGTTTCTTTTGGCACGACTAGTCTAACTGCATTGGTTGAGCGCAGTTCTCGAACGCAAGTTTGTCGTTCTAGCTTTAGATACTCTGGCCACTCTGGGAAGTACATGGCTTTGAAACTCGATTTCAGGATGTTGAGGTCTCTTCTTTCGTTAACTGGAAGCCATCCAACTTCCAAGATATCCTTTTGATCTTTAACATATCGACCCAAGACAAAACTAGCAGTTGCAAATTGAACTTTCTGTAAGCGCCTTGATAGAAACTGCGGGAGTGGATAGAAAACACCATCAGCATAATCCAATTTGGATAATATTAGCGTTTCAGCTAACTGCTTTCTAAGGTAATAAGAAGCTAGATGTTTAAGTTTCCTTAATATTTGCAAGGTGGCGTAGCAGGCAGATGTTATGTGACGGATATGGTTGTCCCATTTTAGGTGTTCGTTGAAATGAACGCCAAGCAACTTGCATGACTTTATGCGCTCTAGTTCGTGTTCGTTGACAAATATTCTAGGTTCATAATTTTCCAATTGGTGGACTCTTGACATTTGTTGAGTTGAGAAAAGCATTGCTTTTGTCTTCTTATGGTTTAAGGCAAGGCTGCTATTATTTGACCAGTCGTTGAGTTTTTTCATTGAATCAGATATGGTTTCTCTACATCTATGAATATGTTTGACCTTGGCATGCTCATAGATTGTTGTGTCGTCAGCATATTGATGGCTTTTGGCATCGATAGTTTCTTGAAGGTCGGCAACGTATATATTAAATAAAACCGGCCCCAATATCGATCCTTGTGGTACGCCGAAATTAACATTTGTTGTATTCGATCTAATATCATCAATCTGAACGTACTGTTTACGATGTGAGACATAATTTAGTGTCCATGTAAGAAAATCCTTGCAGAAGCCCAGTTTGCTCATTTTCGAGATGAGATTTTTAAAACGGATCGTATCGAAAGCTTTCGAGAAATCAGCGAAGATCATCATCGTGACTTCTCCACGACTCATTGCTTTCGTGATGTCATCTCGTATGGCTTGCATGACCGTTGTGGTGGATTGGCCCTTTCGATATGCAGAGATGGTGCTACTCAGTAATTTGTTATCATCGATGAATTTGGAAAGCTGGCGAAAGATTAGGCGTTCATACACTTTCGACAGTACTGGCAAGATTGATATGGGCCGCAGGTCATTTTCAGAGGTGATTTGCTTAACTTTTGGGATTGCGCAAATACGCGCAATCTTCCACGCGGACGGAAAGCTTCGATTCGCGATACAGGTGTTAATGATATCGGTTAATGGAGAACCCAAATATTCGGCCACAATTTTGATCATTTTTGCTGGAATGTGATCTGGTCCTGTGGAACAGTCTCCTCGTAGACAACGTATTTCATTTACAACTTCGCCCAGTGTGACAGGATTTATATGGAAGCCATTGTCGTAGTCTGGGGGAAGCGAATCGATCATGTTTCTTATAGTGTCGTAACTGTTGTTATCATAGACGTCAGTGCCGATTGTACGTTCTGCCGTTGAAGTAAAATGAGAATTGAGTTTGTCAGGGTGAATGGTGATCCTACGCGGCTCTGGGTGCAAGATGCGATGTATTACTTTCCATACTTCCTTGGGTTTCTTAGAAGAAAGCATTTTTTGCGTGAATTTCTTTTTAGCAGTTTTAATTAATGCTTTGAGGCGGTTACGAGCTGAACGAAATAGTTCCCACGCTTGGGCATCCTTACTTCTTCGAGCACTGGCTTGGAGAACGTTTCTTTGCTCCTGTAGATCTTGGATGGTAGGATCTTTGAGCCATGGTGCTGGGGGTCTCGTGATCTTGGTTCGTCTTAGCGGCGCATGTCTTTCAATACATTCTGTAATTAAAGAATTTAATATATCGAGTTTTTCATCAGGGTCAGCAACGCCATAGATTACGGAGAGAGGTAACGTTTTAAAGTCTTCGACGAAGTTTAAATCGTTAAAGTTTTTTTCGCATCGTATATACTTGTATCGTGTCTCAAATCTTGTGACTTTGATGTTGATGCAGGCATAAACAGCGTCATGGTCACTGACCAATGGGCAAGGTAAGACATCAGTATGTGAGATGCGCGTGGGTGAATTTGAGATTATATGGTCTATAAGTGTTGAGGATTTATATGTTGTTCTAGTTGGTTTTTGGACGTGCTGATAGAGGTTCAAAGACGACAGCATGTCCAAGTATTGGGTTGTTACAGAGTTCGAATGTCCAAGTAGATCAATATTAATATCACCAGTTATCAAAATAAGACCATCCCAGCTAGCCGTAAGATACCCGAGTAGGTTCTCAAAACGTTCCAGCCATTCCGTACATTTTAGCATTTTTTCTGAGCGATATATTGTCCCCACAAGTAGTTTGCTATGTTTATTTCTGCCGGGGAACTCGAGCCATAAATGTTCAAGGCTGGGTTCTTTCTTCTCAATATCACTCCTTCGACGATACTTTAACGATTCATTGATGTATGCTCCGACGCCCCCTCCTTTTATTGAATCACGATTTCTGAATTCAGAGCTATACCCGGGTATGTTTACGTGCTGAAGTAACAGTGGATTGTCTTTTAACCAAGTCTCGCTCATGCAGATTACATCAAAAGGATATTGCTTCATGGTTAGAACTAACTCGTCGAATGTAGAAACCATGCTTTGGGTGTTAAGATGCATTAGTTTTAGGTGTTTTGGTCTGGTGGTGAGAGAACTCATGTGGTTGATGAGGTGTTTATTTAGGTCTAAAGTGTCGCTCTCGGTAGAGGAGGATTGTCCCGCTTCTAGTGAGAAACTATCGTTCTGTATGTAATGATAGGGCAATTCAGTCCACAGGCATCTGGAACAAATATAATTACTTATAATAGTTTTGATATCAGTTGTGGATGCAATACATTTTACGTGAAACAGATCGAGGCATGATGTACAGTTAGTTTCCTTTTGATTTTTCCGTATAGTTTTCTCGCACTCATGACATTTGTGCATTTGCCGTGGGCCAGGATTTACTTCGATGTCACCGCTACATGTCAACCGCTGTATTCGTAAACAAGCGACGCTATTTGCATAATACGAACAAGGACGGCGAAATCGTTTAATTCGTCTTGTATTTTTTATGAAAGAGGCATTGTTAACGTAATCTCTTGGGATAGTATAATCGTTGGTGTGTATGCAAATGTTTAAACTTGGCCGCACGTCTTTCGCAATCCATATTGAAAACGTTTGAGATTTGTTCGAAATAGCTTCAGAAGAACCCCGCTCGAGGCTGAAATTTGCAGAAAGTTTTGCGATTCTATACGTGTCCTTGATCCTTTGTAGTGTAGTGACCTCCCTCCAAACAGTGGGTCTCAGGAAAAATATAGGCGATGGATT